CCCCCCCCCGCGCTGACTTTTTTGCCCCGCCGCAGACGAGATCGGAAGGGCCAAGCGGGTTGCGGGCGCTTCGGGTGTCTGGGGGTAGCGCAGGCCGCGGCGGCTGCTGGCTTCTCTCTGGGGCTCTTCCGTCCCTTCCCAGGGAGGGGAGAGCTTAGCAAGGACCCCCCCCCCCCAGCTGCAGCGAGCCTTCCGCTTGGCCTGCAGCGCCCGTCCCCAGGGAAAGCGGCTGCTGTCGGCTCGGCTCCTTTCCCACGGTCGGCGGCGGAGCTCGCGGAAGGAGGCGGACGGAGGCTCCATCCGGAGCAAGGCGGGCGGCCGGGGCCTGCTCCGCTCGGCCCCGTCTAAGCGGGGAGAAGGCGGCTCCGCCGTCGCCTTTTGCGCCGACGGTGGGCAAGCGGATCCGGCCGCCCTCCCTCCCTCCCTCCTTCCCGGGCGCCTGGCCCTCCCTACCTGAAGTAGTCCACCTTGCAGAAGATCTCCTGGTTCTTGACGTAGCAGCTGCTCTGCTGGCGGAGCGGCGTCCGGCAGACGGAGCACTCCAGGCAGCGGACGTGCCAGGTCAGATTGTTCACCTGCGGGCGACGGAGAAGCGCGCTAGGCGAGGCCCGGCCCGGCTCCCGGCCCGCGCCCGCCAGCGCCCTTACCTTCAGCAGGTAGCGGTCCACGATCTCCAGGCCGCAGCTCGAGCAGAGGCTCTTGGCGCCCGGAGGCAGCGAGGACGAGGCGGAGGAAGGCGGCGAGCAGACGGACGGCGTGGACGGGGTGCTGGCGCCTGAGCGCGCCTCCTCTTTCTCCAGGGCGCCGGGCAGCGCCTCCCCGTCGGGCTGGGCCTGCGGGAGCCGGGGAAAGAGGGAGAGAGTGCGGGGTCAGCCGCTGGAGCCCCCCACCCCAGCCCGCCGAGAGCCGGGCTCCGTCCTCCCCGTCGGAGGCTTACCATGCCAGAGGAGAGCGGCGGCGGCGGGGCTGGCGGCAGCCGGGCTCCGTCCGGGGGGCTCCAGCCCCCCACCTACAGCCGCCCCGTCCGGACGACGGAGCGCAACTTCGGGGCGGCCATGGGCTCGGCGTCCAGCGACGCGCGGCGGGNCGTCTGCCGGCTCTCTTCATTAAAGCTGCCGGTTCTTTTTCTGCGGAGCCTTCGGAGAGCTCCGGTTCTTGGGAGGAAAAGGCCACGGGTGGGCAGATCTCCCTGGCCAGCCTGTAGGAGCTCGGAGGGATCTTCCCAGCCTGCCGGGGAGGTCGGCAGAGCTAGGCAAGAGGCTCCGAAGAAGGAAGAAGGCGGCCCTTATGGGAATCCTGCTCCCCGCTTCCTTTTGGGGGTTCTCTCCCACCGGGTCTCGCAGGCGGCATCTTGGTTGAGAGCACCAGAGCCGGAGGGGCACCCAAATCGGTTCCTCTCCAGATATCACCATCAGACACGGCTGGGTCCCCACCCCCACCACCTACGATCACCCGGGACAGGTTCAGCCCCTTAAGTCCTTCGGGATTCCGGGAGAGGCGGGAAAGGAGGGAAGGATTCCCGAAGCAGCCGGGCGGGCGCCCCGAAGGAAATCTCTCCGCGGAAATATCTCTCGCTTGCCCGGGAATGCAAACCGCACCGTCTCCTTTCTCTGCGGCGCGCTCCCCGCCATCCCGCGGCCGGATTCCCACCAGGTTAAAGTGCTCCCCCAGTCAGGAAGGCGCAGGAAGGGCGATCGCCGCTCCGCCGCCCGCTTTGCCTTCGGGGGTCGGGGGTCGTCGAGCAGCGCCTCTCTGCAGGGCCGTCGGTTGCCCGCTCTTGGCCGGGAGCGCTCGGCCGTCCGTGTCCGGCTCCCTTCGGGCCGAGGGAAGTTCTTGCCCCACTCGCCCAGGCCGGTATTATAACGTGGCTTTCCTTACCCCGGTTTTTTCGGCGTTCCCCCACCCCCGGACCCTCCGAGGGCGCCTCAAGGCAGAGGGGGCTGCGCTGGGCTCGCTCCAGGCGGAAAGGAGCCCCACCCGCGTCCTTATCTCGAGGGGATTTCGCGGGGGTCCCGTTCTAAATCGGCGCTTCGCCTACACGCGCCGCAAGTCCCGACAACCAGCGAAGGGCTGACGCGCGTCCCGCCGCGATCGTCGGGATGGAACCGCTTCCCCGGGAGAAAAAGACAGGGCTGGGAGAGGAAAAGTAGAGGCCACCTCCCCAGTTCGGAATTGGGGGGAACGGAGATTCCTAGTCGGAGAACGGCGGTTGGGGTCCGACCCGTCGCCGGTGCGAAATCCGATCCGAATTAAGGCGAGGGAGCAAAAGCTGCCCCTTCCTTGCCCTCCCACGGGATTAAACGCGCTCTCCCCCCCCCGCCCCGAGACGGCTTGTTTTAGAAGCGGAAAGGAGGGTCGAAGAACCCCGAAGCGACCCCACTGCCGAGCGAGAGAGGAGGGGAGAGGAGCGGACAGGTCGGAACTCAACGAAATAACGCGCTTTGCGAAACAAAACCGGCCGTCAAGAACCAGCAAGGAACGTGGGGGCGATTCTGACCCAGGGGGAGCCGCGCCTGCCCCGCCGGGGTAGCCAAGTCGGCCCCTCCGTAGAAAACGACTTTCCAAAGCCGCGTTTCGCTCTCTGCTTTCCGAGCCCGCGCAGAGGCACATCTCCCGGCGGAGGAGCGCGCAACTTTTAAGTACTACTCTACTTGGGAAAACGGATCCCCTCTTCCCCGCCACTGCAGGGCAAACGGAAGAGAAGCGGAGAAGGTGGCCCAGGCCAGGGGAGGGGGGGGTCCCCAACGAATTTGGATGCTTCCGAACGAAACCCTTTTGGAAAGGAGCCAGGCAGACCTGCGCCCTTCGCAAACCCGCGGAGAGGAGGCGGGAAGGGAAGGCGATTTGCGCCCTCCGCCAGGAATGTTGGGCCCCTAGCTGAGCTCTCCTCCAAAAACCCAGCGCCCTCGGGCAGCGTCTGCTCCGAGGATCCGTTCGCCCACCCTCCCCTCTCCTTCGACCCGCAGGCCGGTCCCAAAAGCTGCGGGGGAGAACGCCCCATCGGGACTCTCGGGGGCCAGAAGCGATGCGCCCCTTTCGGCTCCTCCAGCCGGCTCCAGAGTTTGGGGAGGGCGAGGCCGAGATGCTCCAAGCGTCGGCTGCCACTTGCAGGGCTGCGAGGCGGAGAGCCAGAAGCGGAGCGAGGGGGAAGAGACGGGGGGGGGGAGGCGGCGTTGGGGGTCCTGGAATCGGCCTCCAGTCACCGCAGGGGGAGGAGATTGCTGGCACCGCAATTAAGCTCCCCCCCCCGCGCTGACTTTTTTGCCCCGCCGCAGACGAGATCGGAAGGGCCAAGCGGGTTGCGGGCGCTTCGGGGGTCTGGGGGCAGCGCAGGCCGCCGCGGCTGCTGGCTGCTCTCTGGGGCTCTTCCGTCCCTTCCCAGGGAGGGGAGAGCTTAGCAAGGACCCCCCCCCCCCAGCTGCAGCGAGCCTTCCGCTTGGCCTGCAGCGCCCGTCCCCAGGGAAAGCGGCTGCTGTCGGCTCGGCTCCTTTCCCACGGTCGGCGGCGGAGCTCGCGGAAGGAGGCGGACGGAGGCTCCATCCGGAGCAAGGCGGGCGGCCGGGGCCTGCTCCGCTCGGCCCCGTCTAAGCGGGGAGAAGGCGGCTCCGCCGTCGCCTTTTGCGCCGACGGTGGGCAAGCGGATCCGGCCGCCCTCCCTCCCTCCCTCCTTCCCGGGCGCCTGGCCCTCCCTACCTGAAGTAGTCCACCTTGCAGAAGATCTCCTGGTTCTTGACGTAGCAGCTGCTCTGCTGGCGGAGCGGCGTCCGGCAGACGGAGCACTCCAGGCAGCGGACGTGCCAGGTCAGATTGTTCACCTGCGGGCGACGGAGAAGCGCGCTAGGCGAGGCCCGGCCCGGCTCCCGGCCCGCGCCCGCCAGCGCCCTTACCTTCAGCAGGTAGCGGTCCACGATCTCCAGGCCGCAGCTCGAGCAGAGGCTCTTGGCGCCCGGAGGCAGCGAGGACGAGGCGGAGGAAGGCGGCGAGCAGACGGACGGCGTGGACGGGGTGCTGGCGCCTGAGCGCGCCTCCTCTTTCTCCAGGGCGCCGGGCAGCGCCTCCCCGTCGGGCTGGGCCTGCGGGAGCCGGGGAAAGAGGGAGAGAGTGGGGGGTCAGCCGCCGAGAGCCCCCCACCCCAGCCCGCCGAGAGCCGGGCTCCGTCCTCCCCGTCGGAGGCTTACCATGCCAGAGGAGAGCGGCGGCGGCGGGGCTGGCGGCAGCCGGGCTCCGTCCGGGGGGCTCCAGCCCCCCACCTACAGCCGCCCCGTCCGGACGACGGAGCGCAACTTCGGGGCGGCCATGGGCTCGGCGTCCAGCGACGCGCGGCGGGCAAGGCGGAAAGCGCGATGCGTCTGAAGCAGCCGGCGGGGGCGGCGGGCGGGGAGGGTGGGGAGGAGAGGAGAGGCGCGGGGATTGTGGTGGGGGGGGGAGGGCACCTCGGGCAGCGGCTCCGGAGGCAACCGCCGCGCGCCCCGCTCGCTCTGCCCAGCCAGGACAGCAGCGGCACCAGCCGCGCCTCCGCCGCGCCTCCTCCTGCTTCCCCCCAAGTCGCCGCCCCGAAGCACCTGCATTTAGCCCCGCCGCCGGGCCAGAGAGGCGCGCGCGCACCTGGCAATCAGCCTGGGTTTTTTTGGGGAGGGGGGGGGACACGCCAGGCTCTCCTGCGCCCCTCTCGCTGCCCTTGTCTCCCTCCAGCCACGGGAAGAGGGGACTCCCCCCTCAAAAAAAAGAGAAGGGCACCTCCGTCCTCCCAGAAGGTACAAGACGCTGCATTCCCCCCCCCCAATCCCCAAATTTCCTGGCGCTTAAGAACCACAACCCCCCCTTCCAATCAACAACATTGAACGATACCTGGAAAGGTGTGTGTGTGTGGGGGGGGAAAACCTGAACATCTCCTCCATTGGAAGGCCCCCACCGCTCTCCCCAAAAAGGGAACATATAGGAACATTGGACCCAACCCAAAGTCTCCCCCCCCCCGGGAAAAATGCAGGGCAGGGAAGGGAGGGGAGCTCCTGGCTACCAGATACCCCCAGGCTAGACAAACAAGGACACCCCCCCCCGCCAGATCTCCCCCTCCCCAGGGAGCAGGACAGCCTGGCCCTCCCATCATCCCGGGACAGATCTCCAGGCTGGGAAAACTCACTTTTTGTCTCCCATTTCCCCCCCCCCACCTGCTTTCCAGGCTCACCTCAGTGGAAGGCTGTTCGCCTGGGGGCTCATTCTTCCAGAACATGGGGGGCACCATAAGGAGCTCCCCTCTGCAGCCGCGTCCGCCCAGACGCCACTCGCCCACCGCTGCGCATACAGCTGCTGGAGAGGACTTTTTCCTCCTCCCCCCCCTTTTGCCTGGGACGATGCCCCCCACCCTCCGCCTCCAAGTCCCTCCTTCCTTGCTTGCGGCTAAATAGGGCGGGGAGGAAGGAGAGGCCGGGAGCACACAAGGAGAGCGGGAGGCTTGGCCTGGGTCTCCCCGGCATCTTCCTGACCAAAAACACAACCGGAGGACACAGCCGGCCCCTGAGGGCGTGCAGAGTTCTTTCCAGGGCTATCAGCAGAGGGACTCCAGCTAAGCCCCCTCTAGCATTCACCTCCCAGGTAGAGAAGCACCTGGTCTGGGAATGTACCTGCCCGCTTCCTGTGAAGGGCGCTGGGAGGCGTCCCATTCACAGGTGACCATCCAACAGGTTGCCCAACTTGAGGGGCCTCGGGCCACCTTGGGAGTCACCTGGGTGCCTCACCTGGGAGCTAACTCCGGGGAGTTGGAAGAGGGGAAGGTGGGTCTCTTGCCTCGGTGTGTGTTTTTCCCTGAAGCCCTTTTGAAGGACGTAGCGGGAGACGTTCAGGGCCCAGACGGAGGATAATCACCCTGATTGAGCAGAGGACTTTTTCGGGCCTCCTTCCTACCCTGTCCCACCAGGGTCGAAATCCAGAAGCCCCCACCCCCTCCCTTATTCCTAGAAGAGCCAGTGCGGTTTGAGGGAGGTGAAAATGCTCATTAAAATAAATATTCCTTGCCGGAAAGGAAATGGGAAATGTGGTTACCAAATTCTTCCAAGCGAAACATCTTCTCAAAGGCCGCACAAGATTTTGGGCAGGGGGGTGGAGAAGGGGAATCCGCCCCCCCTTCTTCTCTACCTAGCCAGTCATTCCCTCAATGGCTCATGAAACATATAATAGGGTGTGTCTTCTTCGATTGCTTATATGTGGTACTTTCTCCCCATGGAGAGTCTCCAGCTGCATCATCTCAAGGGCTGCCCAGGAAGCTTCCTCTCTCCCTGGCTGCTTCTAAGGCCGACTTTCTCCTCACTTCTCCACTCCCAATCCTTTGGCTGGTCCTCCCCGTGCTTAATCACAGCCGTTTGGTTCAAAAAAATAAATAAATCACCCAGATTCTGATTAATTTACGTTTTGCAGTGAGAGACTTTGAGAAATGATCCGAGTTGAACAAGGAGCACTTTTAAAAGTGGGCTAAAAGTTTATTCCTGTGATGTTCCCTTTAGAAAAAGAATGGATACAATGCCCAGATGTGTTCAATGCAGTTGTTACTCACAGACAAATATTACTGATTTCATTACCCCCCTTTTTTTGTGGGGGGGGGGGGAACGTTCCTGGGCTTCAAGTTGCAAGAAACTCTGATTTTTCTCTTGCAAACCCAAAGCACCATATATATATTTTTTTACTGGATAGAGATAATATTCTGGACAGACCATCAGTTCGTCAGAACTTTGTTATCTTCAGAGCAAAACAAATACTGAAGTGGTGAAAACATACTGGAACACAAACACACACACTCATCTCGAACTCTGGAGCTGGATCTAGCTAGCCACACAGGGGGAGGGAAAAAAAATCTGGTTTTACTACTAAACCAGTCGAGTTTCTTGGAGAAGTTCTATACACATTTATGGATGGCGTTACAGCCGGTTTCCTCCGAGGAGTTTTTGGCTTCCGTGTGTGCCGAGGAGGAATCGCAGC